TGCTACCACGACTACTACTGCCACGATTGGAACGATTAATATTACTGCTACCTCCTCTGCTACCACTACTACTACCACTACTACTACTGCTCTCACCACGACTACCACTACAATTGTTTTTCCAATGCAGATCATTCGTGCCCTTGCTACGCCTTCGGCTCCGACCGCTACTGCCTCTATTAGTAGTGCTACCAGCACGACTACCATTATTATATGACTACAAACGGCGATTGCTGAGTTTACGAATCATAATATGATTGCGACTGCCACTACGATTATCAGCAGTACTACTACGTGTACTACTACTTCTACTACTACTACCTCGTACCGTTTTTATTATTTCTGCGATTATTAATAATGCTACTACTGCTACTACTGCTGCTGCTGCTACCACCAATTTCAGTATTACGGCGATTTTCCATTACAACTATGAATACCACAGGTACCGTTAATTCTACTAGCACTAGTACTACTACTACTACTACTACTACTACTACTACTACTACTATTTCTTCTCCTTCTTTTTTCTACGACAGCTACCTCTGCCACCACGACTACCCATATTGTAATGATTACGACCACTACTACTACTGAAACTACCACGGCTACGGTCGCTAGTACCCCTACTATCACTACTACTACTACCACTACTACCATTACTACGATTACTACTACTACTGCTACGACGACGACTACTACTACGATTACTACTATTACGACTACGATTACTACTACCCTTACTTCTACTACTACTACTACTACTACTACTAGTACTACTACTACTACGGCTACTACTACTACCGCTCCATTGCTACTACCATTACGACTGCTACCACGACTACTACCAATTTTTCCTCTACCGCCCTTTTCTATTATTATTATTACTACTACTACTACTACTACTACTACTATTACTACTTCCATTACTGCTACGACTACTACCACTGCGTCTACTACGATTATTCATCAGCACTCGCATTGCAAGGTTTACTATTTTTACTGCTACTACTTCTACTCGGTCTTCTTTGCTTGTCGCCCCCCTTTCCTGGGAACTTTCCTGGGAACTTTGCTTGTCGCCCCCCTTTCTTGGGAACGACTACTACTACTACTACTACTACTACTACTACTGCTACTACTACTACTGCGACTACTACTACTACTATTACTACTACTATTACTACTACTACTGCTACTACTACTACTACTGCTACTGCTACTACTACTACTACTACTACTACTACGACAACTACCAATATGTCTCTTGCCACTGTTGTATTACTACGATCACTACTACTACTATTACTACCACTACTACTACTACTACTACTACTACTACTACTACTACTACTACTACTACTAATACTACTATTACTACTACTACTGCTACTACTACTACTGCTACTACTACTACTACTACTACTGCTGTTACTACTACTACTACTACTACTACTACTACTACTACTAGTACTACTACTACTACTACTACTCGTACTTGTACTAGTACGAGTGCTACTAGTACTGGTAGTAGTAGTAGTACTACTACTACTACTAGGACGACTACAACTACGATTACTACTCTTAGTATCATGACTACGAGTACTACTACCACGATTTCTACTACTATTACTACTACTACTACTACTACTACTACTACTACTACTACTACTACGACTACGTCTACGACTACGCCTGACATGTCCAATCGTAATAAGCACGATTATTGAAAGTATATCTACTACTACGGATACTATTTATACGCGATCTTCTTTGCCCTTAGCCCCCCCGGGATTTTGCTGTCCCGTGCGTTGTCTGTTCACCGGAAGCCGGCCACAATGAGTTTTCATACGCGTGTGATAGAACCAGGTTGTTAAGAAACGCTTGGCTCTACACGCCACAAAACAGCAACGTCCTGAATCCTTTTCTTTTGTGGGGAAAACTGGAAAACTGATCCTGGGACATCTGAGCTCTCTCCTCTCCCACTCCTCCTCCTCCTCCTCTTCCCTCTCTCTCTTGTTTTATGTTCCTTCCCTCTGATGTGTGTTATATCAGATTCTGCCCATTGCAGCGTTCCGAGGTAACAGACGTGTTGCAGGAGTAGGTCGTCGTCGTCGTCGCCGTCGTCTTCGTGCGACGACGCCGCCCTGTTTTTTCTTCGACCATGTACGAGTTGCTGGGACAAATCGTTCAGTATCCCCCGGGGACCCTGGATTTTATAATCGCCCGGGTGTTTTTCTCAGGGGCAGTTGGTTTATACAAACATTCCCGATCAACCGCAGAACGGCCAGCGAGTAGGTCAACGAACTGTCTGCGCATGTTTAAAACATTCGACAAGCAAATCATTGCTGTGGTGAATGAATTTCGTAGTCGATCTCCCCTTCGAAGGACGCGTTCCCCCCACGCAGCGTTGTACCGGTCTGGCGGATATGCGGGACGCGCGCGCCGACTCGACGGGGCAGCAGCGCTGGCGCAGGCGTCCGAGCCAGAACACCCACTGAGGAGTTCCGTGGGATGATTCACTGTTGAACTCAGAGGAGGACAGGGTATGCATACCGCTGCCCCTGCCTGGTTACTCCCCTTTTCTGGGGCCTCCAGGCAAGGGAGGCCCCCGTCGCCACTGCTGGATTCGCTTCGAGATTCTGGTCAGAGCGCACCCTGGGGGAGCTTCGGGGAGTGCCAGTATCGGTATTTCTCAGTGTTTCTCAAGCTTGGCATCGCTCGGACGTGTGCATTTTTCTTTCGGCGAGGACCATCGAGGAGCATCCTTGATCATTTGGCGAAACAACCACGCACGAAACCGGAAAAAGCACAGGGAATGGACGTCCGAGCGATGCCCAGCAAGGGCAGCCCGCTGCGCGGAGTCCCTGCGAACCAGCGGAGGGGGACTCCTCCACGGATCGACCGGCGGCTCTCGCGAGGCTTTGCTTGGGGGCGCCGCCTGGTGACGCCGTCGGAGCTCGGGGGGGCGCCTCCGCCAGAGCTGCCACAGGGTCTCGTGGGCAAGGCTTCCACCGCCACTGCCACATGCAGGACGGGGGAGAAGGGAGGACGAGGAGCTCCTCTTCCTCCTCCTCCTCCTCCTCCTCCTTCTCCTCCTCCTCCTCCTCCTCCTCCTTATCCTGCCTCTGGTGGTGGTCGTGGAAGATGGGCCCACCAGGGTCACCTCGCCCGCAGCGGGCTCGCATGTGGCCGCGCCTCGAAGCCAGGGCCAGAGAGCGCCGCGGGCGAACGGCATGTCCGCATCCGTGGCCTCGCGGGCTGGGCCCCTCGGCCGCGACGCTGCGGATACTCAGGAGGGGGAAAAACACACAGACACAATGAATCGTCGATCCTCCAGAAAATATGGGAAAATAAATATGGAAGTGGGGGCGGACAGAAACCCAGAAAATATGAGAAATTTTGGGGAATCCTGTTATTCGTGTGTATTTATTTGTGTGTCCCAGGGCCCCTTCAGATACAGGCGCTCCTTTCGCGGATGGTTTTTGCGGAACGCATCCGTGCTGCCGGCTGTTCGCGGGGTCTCGCCTCGGAATCCGGGCCGCGGGGGCGCGGATGATGACGGACCTTTTCGCCGCTCGCGGGAGCGGTCTTTTCCCGCGGCACGGGAGCGCGAAGGTGCTAATCGCGCTTCGCACAGCGCGGAGCTAGAAGTCAGATGGCGTGTGGGAACTGATCAGCGTTGTCACCGCTTCCGCAAGGATAGAGAGGGGACGGTCGCCAGGGATAGAGACGTAGGGATGGACTCGTCCTCGTCCTTTTTGTGTCTCCTCAGTCTCCTCCTCGTCGTCCTCCTCCTGCCCTTTCTTTCTCTTCCCCCGGCTCCCTCCTGCTCCCCCGCCCGTCTCTCCTCGTGCTTTTGCCTTCTCCTTCTCCTGGTCTTCTCTCCTTTCCTCGCCCTTGTTCCCTCGTCGCCTCCTCCCCCCTCCTTTTCTCTCCCCCCCCCCTTTCCTCCGCTCCTCCTTATCCTTCGCGCCATCGTTCCACCTTCGATTCTAGTTAATCCCTCTCCTCCCCTTCCCAGACAACCAGCGCTCCAAGCTTTTCGGTGCGTGGAACCCGGAGGTGTGGACAACTTCCCTGGGGCGTGCCTGTCATCCTGAGTTGTCTTGTAACGGCCCCGGGGCCCGTCGAGAGCCTGCAGGCCGAAACTAGTTCCAAACCAGCCCCTCCAACTGTGTTGGAGCCTTAGATCTCTGGGTCCACATCCCCTCCTTCATCCCCTCTCGGCTACACGTAACAGTAACCTTTCGCAGGAGTGACCGGCCTTTTGGTGCGGGCCCCATAGGCTCCTCCGATTGCTGAGCGCGAACCGGTAGCAGCGGCTTGCGCCTCCGGGTTTGGTCCCCCCTGCGGCCCCCCAAAAGAGCCGCGCACCAAAAGTCGCTCGTGTCCCGGGTCGCTCCTGCGTGTATCAGGAGGGGGAAAAACACACAGACACAATTAACCGTCGATCCCCAGGAAAAGATGGGAAAATATGGGAAATGGGGGGGAAGACGCAAACACCGATAATATTGGAAAATATGGGGCATCCTGTCATTTGTGTCTATTTATTTGTGTGTCCCAGGGCCCCTTTAGTGCAGCAGTCGAGTCGTCGTCGCGAACGTCGGGAGAGGCGGTTCGCCGTCCTCGAAGGACAGTCGGCACGAACGACTCTCGGCGAGGCGAGAGGAGAGCCGTGCCTCCAGCTAATTACGCGTCGTCGAACAGGCCAGCCCTGTGCCACTCGCACCCAGGGTCACCATTGCGTGTAGCCTTGTGGAAGACGATCCACGGAGTGTGGAAGCCGTGTCGTGTCGTGTCAAACAGTTTCCAGATTTCTGAAACGGTTAACCATATCCAGAACATGTGAAAACATGTTTGACACAAGTATCCGACAGTTTTAAAACATAAGACGCACGTGTTAAATCCAAAGGCTGGGTTGTGAGAGAGTCCATTGTCGTGGCATCCGCAAGTGCAGCCGACCCCTCCTCCTCGTCCTTCCCCCCTTCCCCCCCCCCCGCGAGGCGGAGGGCCCACAGCGCCCTGCCCCGCGCGGGCCGCGGCCCCGTCCGCGCGGACCAGCTCCCGGGCCACGGGGCGGAGGAGGACCCCGACGACGAGGAGGTCCCCGCGGGCGGCGGCGGCGAAGAAGGCGGGGGCACGGCGAGGGAGGGGCGGGGCCAGCGGGGCGGCGAGGGAAGGGGCCGCGAGGGCGCTGGGTGATCGATTCCCCGGAATTCCTGAGGATTCCTAGGAATTCCAGAGAGGATTCCCAGGAATTCCACAGGATTCCTATGGATTCCTATCTATTCCTAAGGATTCGTAGGAATTCCGAAGCATTCCTAAGAATTCCTAGGAAACCCTAGGAAGTCGGGCACGTCCCTCTAGAGGAAGACAGGCCAGACGTAGTCAAGACATGGTCTGGGGCCGATGTGCCGATTTTTGTCGTCGTGTGTACTTTGGTCTGTGTCTGGAGCAGGTTTGATTTGTCGTCCCAAATCCGCCTGTAGGAGGACGTGCCCGACCTGAACGTGCTGGGGCGGGTAGGGGGCCCTTATGCGAACCCTACCCCTACCCCCCACGATTTCTGAGGGGGTAGGGGTGGGGATGGTTCACTTCGCCCGAGAGCTCCCGAGCGAAGCGAACCCCACCCTCCCCCTCAGAAATCGTGGGGTAGGGGCAGGGTTCGCATGTGGTCTCCTGGCGGGGAGGAACAGTGGGGTGGCCTCGATTGTTCGGGTCGGGCGAAAGGCGGGGATAGCAAAGGGGGGGTTTGATAATCAGCTCGTAGCTGATTTTCCCGGCGCCTCCCGGCGCCGGAGGCGGCCATGTATCTAGGAATGGGCCCCTCGGTGAGGCCGAAACCAGCTGCATGCAGCAAGTTTCGTAACCCCCCCCTCTCCCAATCCCCCCCTTCCGTGCGGCCCGAATTGTTCCCCATCCCCCCGAGCTGGCCTCCCGTGCCGTGGCTCTCGCGGGGAGCCCGGGGGCACCGCTCGCCTGCCGGCGCCGTGCTGCGCCCGCGCGCGCGCCCGCGCGCCGCCGCGGCTGCCCCGGGCCCCCGACGATCGGATTGTTTCCGATTTCGGCCTCTGGGGTGAAGTCGGGCCTGTCCATCTGCGGGAGGGGTATCCCAGAATAGTCCAACAAAAACCTGGGGACGATTGTTTGACCAGTGTTACCCATGTGGGGGGTCTCTTGTCTGAGTCTTCTTGCATTTTTCGCCCAAAATCCCCCTGTAGGGGGACACGCCCGACTTAACTCTGGGGCTGGCCTATCGGGCCCAGGACGATCACAACCGAGTGCACGCACGATTGCACGCGCGTGCGGTCGAGTGCGGCCTCGTGGCACCAGCCACTCGCAGGTCGTATGAGCACACCCTCCCCCGCGACGAGCACAAAACAAATGTATCCGTTGCTGCGGGCACGTCGTGTGCAGGGCCGCGGTGTTGTAGGCGGGGTGTCCCATGGCGTCCCAGCTCGTGGTGACCACCACGCAATGCACAAATGTTGCTACCACTCTTTGCTCTCACGTCGTCGTTGAAGGTAGTGCTGTTCCTGGGCAAGCGGTCGGGGGCCCAACGGGGCCGCGGGTGGAGGAGCAGAGTCTCCCCAGACGAGGGGGGGGGCCCCGCGGCCCCAAGAAGCCAAGGCGAGGCGCAGCTCGAAGAAAATGCTTAGTCGGAGGCCGGCCGGTGGGGGGGGGAATCTGGCGGGCCAGTTTTCCATCACCACCACCAGGTAGGACGGGGGAGAAGGGAGGGTGGGGAGGTCGCCCTCCTCGTCCTCCTCCGCCTCCTTCTCCTTCTCCTCCTCCTCCGCCTCCTCCTCCTCCCTTCTGCCTATGGTAGAGGTGGTGGAAAGTGTGCCCATCAGGGCCACCCATCAGGGCCATAATTTGGTCGGACGGGGAAGAAGGGAGGATGGGGAGGTCGTCCTCCTCCTCCTCCTCCTCCTCCTCCTCCTCCTCCTCCTCCTCCCTCTCCTGGTGTAGCGGTGGTGGAACATGGGCCCATCAGAATCCGCCGCGCGCGAAGGCGGGCCACCGAGCTCGGGGGGCCCGGGCCGGGCCCGGGCTCCCTCACCCAGGCGATGGCAGACACGGATGCGTCCTCTCAGGAAGAGAAAAAAACACACAAAATTAATCGTCGATTCCCCAGAAAATATGGGAAACTATGGGCAGTCGGGGGGAAGACAGAAACCCGGAAACTATGGGAAAATATGGGGAATCCTTCTATTTGTGTGTATTTATTTGTGTGTCCCAGGGCCCCTTCATCATCCTGTGGCGCCTCGATTTCTTCGAGTCCCCAGAGCCTGGACCTCCTCGTGCCATCCCCGGAGTTTTTTTTCCCTACCTAGGCTCTGCCTAGAAGGGTTCTTACTCTCTTAGCTTAAAGGGGCCGGGCAGTGCAACACGCCCCGGGCGGTTCCCCAAGTCCCCTGGGAGCGGTTCCCCCCAGTCCCCTGGGAGCTTTAGCTTTAGCTTCAGCTTTAGCTTAGCTTTAGCTTAGCTGTAGCTTAGCTGTAGCTTAGCTTTAATTTAGCGTTTCGCATAGCTTTTCGCTTAGCGTTTAGCTTAGCTTTAGCTTAGCTGTATCTTAGCTTTAGCTTAGCTGTAGCTTAGCTGTAGCTTAGATTTAGCTTAGATTTATCTTAGATTTAGCTTAGCTTTAGCTTAGCTTTAGCTTAGCTTTAGCTTAGCTTTAGCTTAGCTTTAGCTTAGCTGTAGCTTAGCTTTAGCTTAGCTTTACCTCAGCTTTAGCTCAGCTTTAGCTCAGCTTTAGCTTAGCTTTAGCTTAGCTTTAGCTTAGCTTTAGCTCAAGTTTAGCTTAAGTTTAGCTTAGCTGTGGCTTAGCTTTAGCTTAGCTTTAGCTTAGCTTTAGCTTAGCTTTAGCTTAGCGTTACTGTTACTACTAATGCTGCTTTCCTAGGGGTTCCAACTCCTAGGTAGGGTCGCACTGGGATAATTTGTCCAGGGCTGCCTTTTGTGGATGCCCGGATGGGGCCCAGAGCCGGCCTCCAGAGGCCCAGGCTGGGGGCAGCGCCGGTCATCTCGATTGTCTGAAACCGCCAGGTGTCAGGCGATCGCAGACATGGACCAAGGGCGCGTGGATTAGCGACGGGTCCCGTTTCCATGGGACATCGCGGGTTCCCGCCGCCGAACGGGGCGGCACCGTCCGCATTTTGGGGAGGCCGCCTTCCTTTGCTCCCTGGATTTGGCGGCCGCGCGCCAAGTCCAGGGGTCGCTGATACCTGTTTGCGCGCCCCCGGCTCACGGGACGATGGCAACAGCATGTAGAAAAGTTGTTCCAATGATCGAAACGTTTCTTTGGAGATCGGTCGCGCGCAAAGGGGGGTGGGGGAGGGGGGAGGGCTTCTCAGAAACACCCCGCGTTCTAAGAAGGCGCGGGTCTTCTCTAAACACATGGGGCTGTTGCCTTCCAAGCAACAGCCTCCGTCGAACGGGCCCATAGTTAATCGAGATAGATCCGTTCCAGATTTTCCCAGACCGCGCCCAGAGCGTTCTGGAACGCTCTGAGAAGGCCGCGGTGCCCGAGGCATCCTCCAGAACCCCTAGGTCTCAGAGAGATTTCTCGCTTCATCCTCACTCAAGTATCCTCGTCCTGACCTCGCCTCGTGCTCAGGAGCCCTCCCCCCTCCCTCCCCCCCTTGCGCGCGCCGCCCAGGAGAGGCGGCGAGGCTCCCCTCTGGCCGCGCACGCGCCGCTCGCGGGCGAAGGGGAGAGCAGGCATGGATGGACGCGCGCGCGCATCAGCGACAGGTCCGTGTCCACACGAACTCGTTGCATTCTGCTGCAGCCCACGCGCTTCGGCGCAGCCCCATGCGTTTTTTTCTGTGCTTTCGCATGGGCCGCCCGGGTCCCTCGTCCAGAGGACGCCGGCCTTCCGCAGCAGAGCCTGACGTTCCCGGCAACGTGGCGGACGACCTCATGTGCCCGCGTCTGCAACCCCGTAGGCCCTCTCCTTGGTCTGCTGGTTCGGATGCAACTCATGGGAGGTCAAATTCTGATTTTGCCATGGCCCGAAATCCAGCTCAATCTGGCTTCATCCCGCTGAATCCGGCTTAATCCCGCCCAATCCCGCTGGATCCGGTTTCATCCCGCTGAGTCCGAGGCCCATTCCGGCGCAACAGCCTCCCAATGAGGCTCTGAGGCTTCATTCTCTTGACATCTTCCGACGAAGACCTCCCAGCAGTTGCCTCCTCATGCTGGCTCGCTCTGCTTCTCACGCTCCGAGCGCCTGCGCAGCCCCGGTGCTCTCCATCCTCGGGCGGGGCCACTATAAGATGCCGCCCCGCGCGCCCGCTGGCTTGCCGCCCTGACTTGCCGCTCCGGCGCGCACAGTCTCGCAGGCCTAGAGGTTGACACCAGCACCAAGATCGGCGGTGTGCCTCCACCGAGGGAAGACGATCCCGATCTCGGTGATGGTGGTAATATTCTGGCTGCCAAGGTGACCGAAATATTACCACCAGCACCGAAATCTAGGATCATCTTCCCCCTGTGGAATCAACGCCTTGTGTTGGTGTTGGTGCCAATTTCTAGGCCTCCAACACTCTGACGCGGTTTCCGCCGTGAGTGCCCTGCCCGGTCCTCAGCTCAGACAAGGAGAAGGTGCCCATGCCTCCTGCCCTGCGGATGCAAAATTCCTGGGAGGTCCTCTTCTGCGTTGGCCCTGGTCCGAAGTGCGAGCTCATCCGGCTCCATCCCGCGGCATCCGGCCTAATCCCGCTGAGTCCCGCCTAATCCGGCTGGATCCCGCTTAATCCCGCTCAATCCAGCGTAACAGCCCCCCAATGTTGCTGAATCCTCGTTAGTCCTTCCGACGTAGACCTCCCAGCAGTTGCCTCCTATGTTTCCCCTTCGCCCGTTTTCCCCTTATTGGGGCCTCCTGGGAGGCCCCTCGTCGCCACCGCCGGATTTGCTCCGAAGTCATGGCGAAAACGGGCCCCGGGAACAGCGGTATCGGTACCATTTGGTTTCCCCAGTGAGTGCCCTCCTCCGTCCTCAGCGGCCGATGCCCCCCCCTCTCTTCCGGCGCAAAAGCGAGTCGCGTGTCCCCGACAGCTTGCGCGCCCGTGCGGATCAACTCTGCCGCGCTGCAACGTAGCGGTGTCCACGCCAAATCGTTCCGATCCGTCGATACGCCAGGCGGCGTTGGCGCCGTGCTCTGGGTGCGATTGTCCCCGATTGTGGACCTGGGGTCCGCGCGTCTTATCCACAGATCCCAGCTTGATTCATGTCAGCGCGTGCCCGACAGGCATGGACGACCCCGAGGGTGAGTTCATGGACGACCCCGAGGGTGGCTTCAGCAACGACGACCTTGACATGGCGACGAAGATTGCGTTCGGCCAAACAGAGGACCTTGTTGCGCAGCGCGAGTCGCTCCTGCCGGACAAGATGGAGTTCACCAATCCCGACGTGCCCAACCATTTCTTGAACGTCTACAGGAGAAGGGGATGGGGCGTTCCGTTGAGTACTCTGTTTCGCTCTGCTTGTCTCCTTCTTTACTGCTGCTGCCATGTTTGCCTTTTTCCCCAAGGCCACTAATGCTGCGTCTGCTACCGCGGTGAGCGTACGCCATTCGGAGTCTGGAGTGTGGTCGGGGCCAAACCGAGATCACTGTTTTGGGCCAGGAGCTCGGTCAGATGCGAAAGCGTCTCCCCGAGTCTGACGGGTGCCCGCTGCCGACGCGAGAGCACTGCGCCAAACCAGAGATGCACCCCGCGTGGAGGTCCGAAGGACGATTCTCAGTCAGGACCCTGGCCATCGCTAGGGCGAGAGCACTTCGGTGAATGCACGTCGGGCGACGAGGCGAGGGCACCACTCTCAGTCAGGAGTATGTCTGGCGCCACAGCAGCTCCGAGCTATGAAGCTCGAAAGCGGCCAGCGCCATGGCGAGAGCACCGTTTCCGGGATTGCTTGGCCTGCGCCGAATATTAAAGCATTCTTCCCAGCTTGGTAGGTGCGCTCCGTCAAAGGGATTTGGCTTGCCGAGGCTTTCGAGGAACACCAGTGACTTCCGAGAGCTCAGCCCATCGTCGCCCCCCAGTTCAAGCCTCGGTGCGATTGAAGTGGGTACGGAAAGAGTGGGCACGAAGACCGACAGCAGCTTCTGTCTGTTTTGAAACTCATTCGCTGTCGGTGTCGCCGCGGGAGTTGCCCATTCGAGACAAACGGTCGCTTGCCCAACAGCGGCAGTTGTCCTGTGCGATTCGAACCACACCTGGTTTTCGGCATGGCACCCATTGTTCCTCCATGCCCATTCCGGGCGTCTGAACCCCGACATGGCCTGCACTCGTGCCACCGACCATTTTGCGCCTCTGCTCGGGCTTTGCGGTTTCATCCCCCCCTCCCCTCGGCTTCTGGCCGGGGCGCGGGGGCCGGGCAGGCGGTCACGCCATCGGCTGCCGCGCTTCTCTGCCCAGGGGGCGCGGCGCCCGAGGCCGTGCGCGGCCGAGGCACCGCCCTCCCCTGCGCCGCCCACCCCTCGAGCCCGCGGCGCAGAGGGCGAGGCTTGCCCCCTCGGCCTCTCTGCCTGGCGCGACGCGTCGGTGCGCGCCGGGCGGCACCCACCGGGGGCCCAAGTCTCGCGTGCAGCTCAGGCCCCCCAGCCCTCCGTCAAGAGGAGTGCTCGTGTTGATTCGCGGGGACAGGCGGGTCGGCGGCCCGATCGGCGCCGCAGCCCGACGGGGCTGCGGGAGAGACTCTTGCCCTGTGGTCGGCCAGCCACAGTAGGCGCGGGCCCGCCGCGCCGCCCCCGAGAGGCCCGACGGGGCCACTCGAAGGGGTTCCCCGACGGGGGGGCGTGGGAGCTGTTGGGTCTCCGCCGCAGGAGGTCGGCGGCCATGTGGGGGCGGTGCCGGTGGCCGTGTCTCGGGGCGGTATCTCGAGGCGCCTCGCAAAGGCGGCGCAGATGTGACGCCTGGGGCGTGTGCCGGAGGGTTCCAAAGGAGGTTTTTGGGGAGGGGGTCTTCCAGGAGGGGTCCCCCAGGGGCTCCGCGCCCTTGTTTTTTGACGAGGTGCCGAAACCCCTGGGGGGGCTCTCTAGAGAATCCCCTCCCCCAAAGCCCCTTTTGGGGCTCTCCAGAATAGGTGTGGCAAGATCGCTGATGAGCGCCAGTCGCTGTTCGGTCGGTCGTCGCCTCTGCGGTTTCCTCGCTGATCGCTCCGCCGACGGGCCCGGAGAGCCTTCGGAGGCAGCCCGAGTCACCGCCCACCAGACCACCCCAGCCCAACCCGAAGGCCCCAGCTTGGCCCCCATTCCCAGTGGGAAGGGGCGTCGAGGAGCACTGAAAACGCACATGTGGAACCCATACCCCCCCCAAACCCGAATGTCGGGTCTTCGGGTTGGGTTGGTCTGGCAGGTAATCACCAGGTAATCGCGGACACGCCACCTTGAATGCCGACCTCGGTGGCACGCTCCTCTTGTGGTGCGATCTCTCACCTGGAGCGACGTCCTCGTTTCGCCATCTCCCCTCGCCTCGACCAAGCCACGCTCCAGGGAGCAAGGCAGAACAGTGTGGTCTTTGTCCCCTCACCGTTCGCTTGCTTGCACCGCGCATTGAAAGGCTCCAGGCATAGCCCTCCAGCAAAAACCCATCACACAGATCGTGCCCCAGATTTCCATAGTTGGAGTGGGCGTAATCGCTGCGGTCCATATGTCATCTCAGCACACCCTTTACACTGATCGTTCTCCACAGAGACATCCACCTACAAACCTAATTGAGCGACGGAGAACAATGGGGTCGTCTGCCCTGATGTTGGCGCGTAGGCTTCCCGCGTAAGGTCGCGCGGAAGCGCCCTCGTCTCCAATGTGGCGCGCCGCGCTGGCGGCCCGGGTAAGCCACCACGTAAGGTCGTTGTGCCATCTCGCGTAGGACCCGCTTCTTGGTCGTCGCGCAGTTGTAAGTCGCTGCGTGTCGTCCCCAGCCCATGTCGGGATACCTAACACCAGGTCGCCGGCGAGCTTGGCGGGGGAATGAGAAGGGGCGACTATTCTCAGAAGGCTCAGGAGTCCCCCGGCCTTCCGAGCGTCGTCGGAGGCTTCCCCGAGGACGCAGAGACCCCCCGGAAGGTGCGAGGGCTCCTGCGAAGCCGCGCCGCCTTCTTCAGAGGGCCTTCTCCTTCTCACTTCCCTCAGGCGTTCACAAACATGGAGGGGGAAGGAGGAAAGGGACGAGGAGGAAAGGGAGGCGGAGGAGGAGGAAGAGGAGGAGGAGGGGGAAGAGGAGGAGGAGGACGAGGAAGCGCCCTCGTCTCCAACGTGGCCCCCCGGAGGGGGTGTGGAGTCGCGACGGGCCCCTCTTCCATGGGGACTCGCGGATGTCCGCCGCCGAGCGAGGCGGTACCGGCCGCACTGTGGGGAGGGCACCTCCCCCGATCCATGCATGTGCGCCCCCGATTTCCCCCCTTCTGCGCCTGTTTTCCACCACCACCACCAGAAGTTGGAGGGGGAAGGAGGAAAGGGAGGAGGAGGAGGAAGAGGAGGAGGAGGAGGAGGAGGAGGAGGAGGACCCCCTCCCCCTCCAGCTTATGGTGGTGGTGGTGGCCAACAGGCCCCCCACCCCCCTCGCTCGCCGCCGATCCCTGCGTGCCGTCCCTGGCCCCCCGCCGGGGCGCCTCCGCAGCAGGCCCCCGGGGTGTCCCCGAGGCAGCTCCGCGCGCCTTTTTGGGGGGGGCGCCGGCCCCGCCGGGCCCCCCCGCGAGGCCCGCGCGGGCTCCGAGAGAGCCCTTGGTGGCCCGCCGCGGCGCGCGGGGGCCCGCGCCCTGCACCACGCGCGCGGCGAATTCGCGCGGCGAGTCGCCACCCTCTGTCAATACGGGGCGCGAAAACGACCACAGCCACTGCTTTTGTTTTGATGCCGCCTGCCATCCCGCAGCAACAGAGCAGTGGTTGTGGTCATCTTCGTTGAGCTCGGCACCAGGGAGACCACAACCGCTGCTTCTTTTTCGGCCGGCTGGAAGGCGGCGCAGACAAGAAGCAGTGGTTGTGGTCATTTTCCCGTACCGCAGTCAAGCAGTGGCGAAGTGTCCTGGCTCGCCTATAGGCCTACCGAACAGTGCTTGGAGAATTTTTTTTTGCTGGTTTCCATGACACGTTCTCAGAACATTTCTGGCTGGGACTGCTTTGTTTTTCACACGTCGGGTTTATGCTCTAAGAACATTGTTCCCAACCCTCCTTGTGCTGGTACTCGTGCTGAATATAGCACTGTGGTATCCACCTCCCGCCCTCTCCTCCTTCTTCTCTCCTGTGTTCGCGGTGCCCTGCGGGGCTGCGATCTGCGCAACTGTCGCCACTTCGTGGGATCCTGGGAGGCCCAGCGGAGGTACGTCCTACGCAGATCACTTTGAGGCTTCCCTGTCCCCTGGGTGGGCTGCGATCTGCGCAACTGTCGCCACTTTCGTGGGTTCCTGGGAGGTTCAGCGGAGGTACGTCCTACGCAGATCATTTTGAGGCCTCCCTGTCCCCTGGGGGGCTGCGATCTGCGCAACTGTCGCCACTTTCGTGGGTTCCTGGGAGGCCCAGCGGAGGTACGTCCTACGCAGATCACTTTGAGGCCTTCCTGTCCCTTGGGGGTGCTGCGATCTGCGCAACTGTCGCCACTCTCGTGGGTTCCTTGGAGGCCCAGCGGAGGTACGTCCTACGCAGATGACTTTAAGCTTCCCTGTCCCTTGGGGGTGCTGCGATCTGCGCAACTGTCGCAGCTTTCGTGGGTTCCTGGGAGGCCCAGCGGAGGTACGTCCTACGCAGATCACTTTGAGGCCTCCCTGTCCCCTGGGGTGGGCTGCGATCTGCGCAACTGTCGCCACTTTCGTGGGTTCCTGGGAGGCCCAGCGGAGGTACATCCTACGCAGATCATTTGAGGCCTCCCTGTCCCCTGGGGGGCTGCGATCTGCGCAACTGTCGCCACTTTCGTGGGTTCCTGGGAGGCCCAGCGGAGGTACGTCCTACGCAGATCACTCTGAGGCCTCCCTGTCCCCTGGGTGGGCTGCGATCTGCACAACTGTCGCCACTTTCGTAGGTTCCTGGGGGACCCAGCGGAGGTACGTCCTACGCAGATCACTTTGAGGCCTCCCTGTCCCCTGGGGGTGCTGCGATCTGCGCAACTGTCGCCACTTTCGTGGGTTCCTGGGAGGCCCAGCGGAGGTACGTCCTAATCACTTTGGGGCTTCCCTGTCCCTTGGGGGTGCTGCGATCTGCGCAACTGTCGCAGCTTTCGTGGGTTCCTTGGAGGCCCAGCGGAGGTACGTCCTACGCAGATCACTTTGAGGCCTCCCTGTCCCCTGGGGGTGCTGCGATCTGCGCAACCGTCGCAACTTTCGTGGGTTCCTGGGAGGCCCAGCGGAGGTACGTCCTACGCAGATCACTTTGAGGCCTCCCTGTCCCTTGGGGGTGCTGCGATCTGCGCAACTGTCGCAGCTTTCGTGGGTTCCTTGGAGGCCCAGC